CTACTAGTACTTGAAAAAATCCTTAAATTGTTATTACAACCGACTTAAAGGGGCAATGTCACCGATTTTTGAGGAATTCTGACTCACTCAAAACTTGTACAAAACTGAGAAAGAATGGCTGTAATTACAAAATAAAGCAATAACAAACACAAAAAGCGTATTACTCTTATGTCATACATAAATCCATTTACGATGTTTATTTTCAGAATTACAGTTCACACTGTAAATAAAATGCATTTTTAGTCAAATATGGGTGACATTGCCTCTTTAATTTCGCAAATAATTGTCAGTATAATAGAAATTATTAAATTATAATTTATTATTATTATTTATTATTATTATTATTATTTTCCATCCGCGTTTTATCCCCCATCCGCATTTTCCCATCCGCGTTTTATCCCCAATCCGCATTTTCCCATCCGCGTTTTATCCCCCATCCGCATTTTCCCATCCGCGTTTTATCCCCCATCCGCATTTTCTCATCCGTATTTTCTCATCCGCATCCGTATCCGCCATCCGCATCCGTATCCGCCATCCGCATCCGCATCCGCCCTTTATCCCTACCCTATTTTTGCATAAAAAAACGCGGACACGTTGCACCGCTGAGTGGCCCTTCTGTTACTGATCTTTATTCTGTGACAAAACTACGCGAAATCAGTGCTTCCACTCTGAAAAACCAAAAAATCCTTTTTTTCTCCTTATTTTGACCGAAATTTCCTTCAAAAAATTGTGAAATTTCCTTCAAATTTCCTTTATAAAATTACTGTACGTTGAATATTCTCCAAAATGAACCTCAAAATAGCCTTTTCTCAACATAACAATCATCTGGATGTATCATTACTCTAAAGTGAGATAACCAGGGGGATAACGTCGGCGCGGCTGTAAAAGTGGGGGGGGGGGGCACACTTAGTGCCCGCCGAAGGGGGGTGATGGCAGGTGACATTCTGGGGGACCCGGGAGCATGCTCTCCGGGAAAATTTTAAACTAGGGTCTCTGAAATGCCATTTCCTGCACTTTAGAAGGAGATTTACAGAGTTCCAAAGGTAACAAAATGTTATAAAATTTCTCAAGTTGTTTTGTCAACCAATTTTGGCGAAATTTTGCTTTTTCCTTCAAATTTCCTTCGTTCTTCTAGAATTTCCTTCACATTTCCCTCAAAATTTGTTTCCTTCAAATTTCCTTCATTTTGCAAAAATTTCCTTTCAAAAGGAAATTTCCTTCGAAGTGGAAGCGCTGCGCGAAATGCCGAAATTCAAGCCGCTCTTCTCGGAAACACTCGTGATTCCCAGAATCCATCACTAGACTCCATTCCATGACGTCATTTTCGGAAGATGTCATGTCTACTCTAAACCCCTATTAAAGTGGCACTCGCGTCAAAATTTTTATTTTCTTATTTCCTTAAAATGCTGTTAAAACTGTATAGTAACTTGTTTTGAAGATTTTTGTTCCCATGCTTAATTCTCGAGATATTTCATTTTGTTTGTAACCATGTGACGTCAATGACTCAGTTACATAGATAATGAGACATCAGTAATTGTTGTGTATCTTTGCTGTTTTTGATGGATTTGTTTAAAAAAAACAGTGTGCTTAATGATGTAGGTTAAATTAAGAAACGCACCGCATCTTTGAAAAGATTTGATAAAAAATAGCAAAGATACACAACAATTACTGGTATCTAATTGAGTCATGACGTCACATGGTTACAAACAAGATAAAATATCTCACGAACTAAGCATGGGAAGACAAATCTTCAAAACAAGTTACTATCCATGGTTACTATACAGTTTTAAGAGCATTTTAAGAAAATAAAAATTTTGACGCGAGTGCCACTTTAAACCCTAACAGCAACAACCGCAACCCTAACCAAATTAATAAAAAAAAACAAAAACAAGTTTAGAAATCGATCAAATAACGTGACGCCAGTTGGTAATGGCAGACGTAAACGTTGGCTATAAAAGTAACGAGTTATCGTTTCATTTTAGGCCAAAATGTAACTCCTTACAGTTACCTTATTTTTAAAGGTAACTAGTTACCGTTACAGTTACTCAAAAAGTAACGATTACTTGTAATTTCGTTACTTGTAACGAAGTTACTTACAGCACTAACAGTTAGTGCAGGCTAAAATGATATACTCGGCAAATTTTCTTTTCTTTCCCCGGCAGATCCTCCGAGGAAAAATTGGTATGTACTTTTCACTTTCGCCCCACACAAAATACATACTAATATTTTGTTGAAGGATTTTGAAAAGGGAAATTCCCAGTGTAAATTTTATACATTCATTTAAACCGAACAGCTGCGAAAAATAGAATAGTTGAAAACTCCCAGTACCTCATGGTCTGCATGTAATTCATATTCACCAAATGCCAATATATTTATTCTTAAAATGTTACATTTTCTTATAACATATGTTACAAAAAACATCAAATTATCAAGAGCTGAATTTCAACTGCAAATGTTATATATTTCTTTAACAGAAACACCTCGCATAATTTCATATAAACATTGTGTTATTAACTTACCGCACAATTATTTACAATATTTTAAATACTGTATAATATTTAAGTATTCCTAACCTATTCAACGTCGTATTCGACCAATAGAGACCTTACGATTTTAGAACGGCAACGCGATGGCGCGACGGCCAAAACAAACTCCTTCAAATAAATGGTGTAAAGATAGTTCGTCGTATATTATCAATCGTATGAATTTAATACATTTTTAGAAGTTTAAGACATGGGTTTTATGGTTGTGAAGAGTTCTGATAAACCCAGTTCGAAGTTGCACTTGTCAGTGTCTTGGAATGCAGCCGTTGTATCAAGACGTGAAAATATGTAATTTGGCGTTGTAAACAGAGCGAGGACAATGTCTAAATTATTCATATATTGTAATTACTCAATTCTTTTCAATGATCTATTGTATTGGTAGCCGTCGCCGTCGCGTTGCCGTTCCAAAATCGTAAGGTCCCTAATAGACAGTAAAATCATACGGTACTCTGGTTCCAGAGGTTTTATTTGGTAGAAGAATGTCTAACAAATTTCACGTTAACAGGTTTTTGAAATGAAAACGTGTTGAAAATAAGCCATGTTGAAAACAAGCAGAACGAACACAACTTGATGTCTGCTTGCTGTAACAAACTTGTAACAAGTCCTTTGCAACAACTTTGTAACAAAATAACATTCTCCGCGTGGCGAGGAAAATAAACTTCTGGAACCAGAGTACATCAAAGGAATATGGCCTATGTGCATTATAACCCGCTCGCAGGCTATTACCATAGACATGAAGTTCTGCTGGACTCGGGCTTGCGCAACCTCGTTCCCAGGGCTTTTCCCTTTTTGTCATTGGGAAGGCGGGAAAAGGCCCTGGCACCGGCCGGTCACATGACTTTCAACACCCAGATATACTGGGTGTAATAAATTATAATAATAATAAATTAGAAAATCCAAGATGGCCGCCAACGTAAGAGTGTCCACAAAATTTAAGTGCTTAGAGCGGCTTAAAAATGCGTTTAGTCTTTGAAATTTTTCCTTCTTTTTGCTACCGACGTACTCGAAATCAGATTCTTCAGCTTTTATTACATGGGAACTATGTAGTTGCTGTTCTTCCAACTGGGTTTGGTAAATATCGTTCGTTCGCTAAACAAAATTAACAGCCAAAATATAATAGTATTACGACAGATGTTCTCCAGCTGGACAGGCTTGCCTAAGAGGACACGGAAAGTGTTTTGAACTGGGGATGTTAAAGTTGGTTTTACCCTTCCAAAGACTCTGCTGTGCGATGATTGGAGCGAGTTTATGAGGAATATTTTATACAGTGATTCACAGAAATGTTTTTGCATATACTGTATATGTTATTGATCTATTGTTGAATGTCACTTATATTATAAAGTGCCAATGGTTGGAATTCATTGATATTTTAAACATAGATGAAGTGTTATATGCTCTTTCCTTGTTTACGTTTTCCTTGCAGCCAAATGTTGTTGAAGCTGGCAAGCTGCAAAACTGACATATGAGTGATATGACCCAAATATTGGATATGCATCTTAGTTTGCTTCCAGTAAAATGTAAACAAGACCTTAAGAATTCTATACGAGATAAGAAATATTACGTTTAAAATCATGACTGGCAAATTAGCATGTGCGAATTGATGCTTCCTAATAATAGTATGTACTCCAGTAAAGCTTGCTTGCTTCAATTCTTGCTGTTACCATCTGCACATTATCAGGGTGGAGAGTTGATTTGAATTTTTTGTCCCAGGGGATAAAGGTAGGAAATAGATTTTCCATCACAAAAGGGGCATGCAAGGTGCCCAACCAGTTAGAAGATGGCATGTACTTTAAGTGACCATTATACCCTAGGGTGGGGTGGGAGATTCGTATGTCAAAATGTCATGGGACCCCTTTTTAATCTCTTAATTTAATAATGGGACCCCTCTATATAACATGATGCAATTCTAATCTTCATTCATGTGAATGCCTGACTATGAAGAAAATACATTTTGCAACACAGGGATGGATCCAGCATGATCTGGTGGGGTGGGGGGTGCTCTGCCAGCTCTGGTGCCGAGTTGTGTCGGTCGTGTGTGCCTCCTGCCCATCAACTTGCTTCACTACTGCAAAGTCTTGTTTTACTACTGTATTTGAATTGTAATTGTTGTTCACAGCTCGCTTATCATCATGTTATTACTCAAATTACTGTATCTCATTTTGCCTGTAATAATTTTTTTGCTTTATCATGAAAAATAGCACCCCCTGCACCTCCTCTGGCCAGGGCTAGGGGAGTGCACAGCCCCCCCCCCCCCCCAAGTAAATCCATCCATGTTGCAACATACACTACAAGAGCTAGAATGATTGCTTCCTTTGGATGATTTGTCTTAGAATTATATTACCTATATTACAACAATTCTTCCTATTCTGAAACCAGTTGCTATTCTGTTTTTTACAACACTCACCCACCCCCACCCCAAAAAAAAATAAGACTCAACAAATCAAGGACCCCCTCCCCCTTGCCAGCAAAATAGATTAAATTTGATGGTAATTGTTCTGAGAATATATTAACTCATTGAGTGGCAGCATTCTGTCTAGACTTGCCACAAATCGACCTCGAACGAAACACAAGCAGCGAGTGTGAGCCGACGTTTCGTTCGAGGTCAACTTGTTGCAAGTCTACATTCTGCCCTTGAGTAAAATTGTCTGCCACCAGACGGAGTAATATACTAAAGTAAGGACATTGCCACTATAAAGGTTTAAACAAATTTTTAAAAAATTTGCAATGGTCTATATTCAAAAAACTCATTTTGTCAATTTTAATTGACTTTAATTAAATTAATATAACTACTTATACTTATAGCTACCTTGCCCCAGTCACTTCAAGTGAATTCTACGGGAGGAGGGGGACATTGAAAATCCCTTGGTTTACTTGGTAAAAGCAAGAATTGAACCATGCATTACATGTATATGGAGAGCAGTTTAAATATATTTTATCATGCAAATACCTTGATAATTGTTCTTAAATGTCTTTGGCTTAGAATGGGTACACCCTCCAAAGGTGTTTATTTACAGGGTCCAAGGGTGTTTATTTACAGGGTCCAAAGGTGTAAATATACACTGTCCAAGGTGTATAAACAACAAAAACAATGTATATAATTAATTTTTATTAAATAAAATGTAGAATATTTTACAAATTGCATTACCATCCCAAAGTGTACATAATTTATCAATATAATTAGGACTTAGAAGCTGTTCACATGAGTTTGACTCTGACCCAGCACCCTTGGCTTAGCTCCCCTTGCCCGATCACAAGTAGAAAACCTCCAACCGCTTTCTGACAAATCAGTCCAGATCTGCCCAAGAGGCAGGATTTTCTGGAATATTATTAGCAGTGAAATTGTTGCATATTTTCAAGCATGCATTGTAACCTGATTTTAAAGCCTGTTTGAACATCAGACATTGTGGCAATGGCAAGATGGTCCAGCCAAATGAACACAATCTTAAAATATCATAAAAACAATGCAATTTAAGGCCAGACAGCCCAACTCCTGCGAACAGCCCTTTATTACACATTCGAAGCATCTCTTGAGGCATCAAAGTACTGTACATGCAGGCACATGGAATTACATACGAGTATGTGACATAAGCCCACCATATATTGCACAACTTTTTCTGCAACAATGCAAATACAACAAATGCAAATACAATCAAGCTGGAAACGGACTTTATCAGTATTTTGATATATACATTATGGCTCATGTCTAAAGACACCTGCACTTTCATATTGAAATTGTTCTAATATCATCCAAACAAAACACATCAGAAAACTATAACATCAGCCAAATGAGCAAGTTACTGTTTTAACACAATTTATGGTAAAATGAAGCAACATGTAATAGTATCTGAAACAAAACCAAATCACATATTATTCAAAAGTTGTAAACACTGTTGCATACATGATATAATAATAATAATAATAATAATAATATTTATTCAGGAAGCTCCACTCACCGAAGTGTTTTTCAGGGAGGTCCTGTAATATATATCTATGTTATACATGGCATTCGTAAACTATGCGTCTATGCTTATCTAAAAACTATAAAATATTTACAAGTGGATTATATATAATTATACTTCATAGTTAGAAAAAACTCAACTTAATTAGGTGGATTGTCCAACTTAATTAGATAAATTGTTTTAGTTTGGATTTAAGGAGATTAAGATTAGTAGATTGTTAAGGTTAAAATCAAAGTCGACTAGATGGTTAAGACATTTAAAGACGGAGATACAACGGTGGTATTTTCGACGAAGGTAAAGGGGTTTCCACTCTAGAGTTTCAAGGGATTCGGTAGCGGAAGAATGGCGAGGAAGATCAAGGATAAGTCTCGCAGCGTTATGTTGCAGAACTTGAAGGTGGTTCATTAGAGTGGAGTTGTTTTTATCTCCCCACATGATATCACTGTAGTCCAATAGAGGGAGGACTAGGCTGTTGTAAAGGGTGAGTCTGGCTTCAATAGGGAGTAAGAATTTTATGCGGCGAATGAGACCAAGGTGTTGATTAAACTTCTTGCTGATGTTGTCCATATGATCTGACCAGGTTAAGTTTTGATGAATTGTAACTCCTAAGTATTTGAAGTATTAACAAAATATAACAAAAATATCGTCGCATTTCTAGTGGTAACTAACTATAAATTAGGCCAATTTAAACTCGACTATGAATAACATCAAAAACTAAAGGTTATGTTTCAGTTTATAAACCCAGACTTTAGTTTTATAAATATAAACATTATATATAACGCTATACGAAGCCAAATATGAAGGTACATTTTGCCCTAAATACTCAGTCAGAGCCTCAGATGTATGTTCTAGTAGACAATGAACATTCTCTCACAGTTTAAAACAAACAATAATACTAACCTTCGACAAATTCTGTATAAATCTTATCGAATTTAACCATTTTGCCACAGATTTTGCCAAAAATATTTCTTAGACGGACAAAGTAGTAATAATGGGCACTCCTGGCATGAAATGTTAATTTATCCCAAAGTTTGAATAAATTAATCCAAGATTGCATTATTTGCATAAAAATGTACTTGTCATTGACCAATCAGAATACATAGAAGACCGGCCGGTGCCAGGGCCTTTTCCCGCCTTCCCAATGACAAAAAGGGAAAAGCCCTGGCAACAAGGTAGGTTAATTATGTCAGCCACGGTGGTAACCAAGATATCAGCGTTTTCTTTAAGTATCCAGTTTGGAATTCCGTCTGGTCCACCAGCTTTACTTTGATTCAGTGCGGTCAATATTTTAAAGACGAAAATTCGGAAACACAAAATCCGTCTGACCTCCCATCCGAATCGGCTTGCCGGTTGCTGGGCAACAACGGAATGAAATCTGACATAGGCCTAAGGAACGCTTGATTGATTTCATTGGCCAGTTTGTCTAGGCTGGGGGAGCTTGAGTCTGAGTTCTGTTCAATATTACTCAACATGGCGACAGTATCTTCACGCCTACTGACCTGTTCGGACATACCACACAATCTCTTGATTTCTTTCCACCAAATTGCAGGAGCTCAGCTTCTTAATTGTTTACCTTTGCATCATAGTATTTAGCGCGTAGCCTTTTTCTTTCACGATTTACTTGATTTCTTAAACTACGGAATATTATAAGGTCTCCTTAGAGTAAAGGATTTTTGACGACTATGGATTAGGTTTTTTAAAGAAGGGGACATCCAAGTTGGTTCGTTCGTTATGATGATCTTTTTCTTAATTGGTGCGATTGCGTCCAAACCAGTATTGATGATCAGTTCTAGAGTTTTGACTTTGTCGTTACACAAGATTTGGTTTTTAACTAGCTCTTCAACATTCACTTCTTCAAGGTACTGCCTCAATGCTAGACGTTTCGTGGGCCTCAGATCTCTAGATTTTGTATGAAAACTCACTCTTGGGATGTGCGAACGAACCTGGGGTTGTACCATTATTTGAAACGTATGTCGTCCCTACCGATAAATCATTTGAAATTAATAGATTTTCATCAATTAATGTCAAAAACGTAATTTCGAAAATTAATACTTCTAAGGCAACTGGACATGATCGAATATCGTCGAAACTTTTAAAGGATAGTGCCGACATTATAGCTGAGTCGCTTACCGTTATTTTTAATAAGTCGATAGAAACCGGCATTTTTCCTTACGATTTAAAGGTGGCGTGCATATCCCCCATATATAAGGGAGAAAGTAAGACAGAATGTAGCAACTACAGACCAATATCTGTCATATCTGTAGTTGCTAAAGTATTTGAAAAACTAGTTTCAGGACAACTCATGGAATATCTAGAAACCTATCAGTTGCTGTCAGAGTGTCAAGCTGGTTTTAGGAAAAGAAGTTCGACTGTAACTTCTCTCCTTACTAATACGAACCAGTGGTATATAAATATGGACAAAGGACTTTTAAATGGCATTATATTTCTTGATTTAAAAAAGGCCTTTGATTGTGTGGACCATGCTATTTTGATAGAAAAATTAAAAAAGTTTGGCTGTGTTGGTAATACTTTAAATTGGTTCAAATCATATTTTACGAATAGAAAACAGATGTGTAAAGTTAAACCAAACGACATCAAAATGTCGAACAGTTTCTTGCGGAGTACCACAAGGCTCTAATCTTGGGCCAATATTATTTCTGCTATACGTAAATGATTTGTCAAATTGTTTAAAATCAACAACAGCCAGCATGTTTGCAGATGACACTAATCTGACAGCGAGTGGTAGCACATCAACTGAGTTGTATAATAAATTAAATAATGATTTAGAAAATATACATCAATGGTTGTTGGCTAACAAATTAACACTTAATAAGAGTAAAACTGAATACATGATTGTTGGCTCCAGACAGAGACTAGGCAAAATAGACGATGAAGCTGAAATTAAATTGGGAGATAATAAAATAAAAAAAGTTTCAGAAACAAAAACTTTAGGTGTTATTGTCGATGACCAACTTAAATGGAATTCACATATAAATACGGTTGCCACCAAAGTATCAAAAGGCATAGGAATGATTCGACGAATGAAAGCTTTCGTACCCCAATCAACCCTTATTTCTGTATACAATTCGATTATCTTGTCCCACTTTGACTATTGCAGCCTTGTTTGGGATAGAGGAAATGCATATTCGCTCGAAAAACTCCAAAAACTGCGAAACAGGGCTGCAAGAGTCATAACTGGTAAATCATATGATGTCAGATCTAAGGATATATTAGAAGAATTAAGCTGGCAGCCATTGATGGAAAGATGGGGTAATAATAAGGCGATATTTATGCATAAAGTTACGAATGGTGAATACTTAGAAAATATATCTAGCTTGTTTGTCGTTAAAAATAATGACAATTATAATTTACGAAATAATAATATCGATTATAAAATAGAAAAGCCCAAAACAAACTTTTTAAAAAAAGTATCAGCTATTCAGGTGTAAAAATTTGGAATGAATTACCAGTAGAACTGAAAAGCAATTCTTGTCTTTAAACGCATTTAAAACCTTGCTTCGGGACAGACCTCAACATAATACTTGTGTAATATGTACTGTGTAATATGTAATGTGTAATGTGTAATGTGTAATTTGTAACTATATACTAATTGTAATTATTAACCTAACTTTTTTTGTAAATTTGTATTGTGCAACGGCCCCTTGGAAAACAGCTCTTATCTATGCTGAAGGGTTACCGTTGTTTTTAAAGAAGATTAAATAATAATAATAATAATAATAATAATAATAATAATAATAATAATAGTATCGTGATCCAACAACCAACAACGGTGGGATTATCCTTGGATTATCGCAAAACTTGTCTATGTCTGTCAATACAAAATCAAAAAACGAAAAGCGCACATCGCATTGCGGTTGACCATTGATGATTTTTACGATTTTTTATTCACATACTTTGAACCGAAATGGAAGTGTTCTTTTGGGTTTAATGACGCCAAAACTCGCGATTGAAAGCTTGCGTACTGTTTTTGACTACAAAAAAGAAGCCATTGATGTTGTCAGAGTATGCTTGCATCCTTACACGCACTGTAACAACAATTTAAAAACAGTTTAGAATCTTTTATTTACATATATTGGACAAAAAGAAAAGTGCGAATGCCACTATCGCTTTTTAAACTTCTCTTGCAGTTTAACGCTGCCAAACATCTCGATTTAAAGCTTGCGTACTTTTTTGACAACAACTGCTGAAAAGTCGCCATTGTTGTTGAGAGAGTATGCGCCTTTTTGTAGTCAAAAACAATACATGATTTTAAGCTTTGTTTAATCCTAGTTTAAACATGCAATAATTGCGTCTTTTTGTAGTCAAAAACAGTTTGCAAAGTTTCCATCGCAACTTCGTTAATCCCAAGAGAAGTCTAAAAAAGCAATTGTGGTATTCACACTTCAATTTTTGTTCAGAATAAATAAATAAAAAACCCTGAACTGCATTTAATTTAAACTACAGAGTTCCAAGTAAAGACAACAAAAATGGCTATCGTCTTGTAGTCGCGCATGTACTTTGATGAAAAAATATTGTTTTTATTATTATTATTATTATTATTATTATTATTATTATTATTATTATTATTATTACTATTATTATTATTATTATTATTATTACTTTATCGTTATCGTTACCGTTACCGTTACCGTTACCGTTACCGTCACCGTCACCGTTACCGTTACCGTTACCGTTACCGTTATCATTATCATTATCATCATCATTATCATTATCATTATTATTATTATTATTATTATTATTATTATTATTAAATATGCAAAAAAGAAAATAATTGCTACTTGTATTCGCACGTCTATTATATGTTCTGTAGACGAAACAAAGACTAGAACAACCCGGAACTTTTAAACTTTTAACTAAATTTCAAAAACTCATTAATAATTCATGAAGCAATTATCCAATCTTGAGTAAGAAATTAGTCACGTGCATACGTCTTTATACCAGCTAAAGAACACTTTAACAAAAGACCGTTGTTATGCAAACCTTATAAAGATTTTTATATAAAGATTTTATATAAAGATTTTTATATAAAGATTCTTCATATTCAGATTTGACTTATTATGCAAACGTTTTTGGAGCCATTTAAAAAACTCGCAGGTCGTGTTTTATTTGGTCTAAAGCCAATCGCGCTGCGCGCTCGTGGCTTTAAACCTAATAAAACACTCCTGCTTGTTTTTTAAATAGTACTTAAAAGATTTTCACCTGTATATATATTTTAGTTTTATATTCAATTCAAGTAGACATCGATAAGCTACCTTTTATTAAGTGAGGTTTATCAATGCATATATAGTATATCGTAAATATCTAATAAAAAGTTTCCATTATTATTATTATTATTATTATTATTATTATTATTATTATTATTATTATTATTATTATTATTATTATTATTATTATTATTATTATTATTATTATTATTATTATTATTATTATTATTATTATCATCATCATAGCAGCGAAGAAAGGCGAAGACTACTGTACGACCATGTCCTGGATACGAGCCAAGGTCTCCTTTGCCGGCATCTTGCGGTCAGCTCTACTTTGTCTCAGAGGGACTAGAGCACCCAGGAGGATGACAACGAACGTTCAAGAAACAGACTTCGAAGTAGACAATTCTCGTGCCAAAATTTAGGCTTATTATTATTATACACATATGTAGTTGTCATGTTAGTTCATATTACATTAAATATCTTTATCAACTCGTATTGTTGTCAGTACCATCTGCATTTTAATATGTATTTCTGCCATTTAAATAATGAAGAAATATTGTAGATATTCAGAGTGTTGTGGGTTTAGATGTTCTAAATGAAGAAAATAAATCCATTTTGATTCCCCTTTCCCATTATTATTATTATTATTATTATTATTATTATTATTATTATTATTATTATTATTATTATTATTATTATTATTATTATTATTATTATTATTATTATTATTGTCGTTGTCGTTGTCGTTGTCGTTGTCGTTGTCGTTGTCGTTGTCGTTGTCGTTGTCGTTGTCGTTGTCGGTAGTGGTAGTGGTAGTGGTAGTGGTAGTGGTAGTAGTAGTAGTAGTATTAGTAGTAGTAGTAGTAGTAGTATTAGTAGTAGTAGTAGTTGTGGTAGTGGTAGTGGTAGTAGTAGTAGTAGTAGTAGTAGTAGTAGTATTAGTATTAGTAGTAGTAGTAGTTGTAGTTGTAGTAGTTGTAGTAGTTGTAGTAGTGGTAGTGGTAGTGGTAGTAGTAGTAGTATTAGTAGTAGTAGTAGTAGTAGTAGTGGTAGTGGTAGTGGTAGTGGTAGTGGTAGTGGTAGTGGCAGTGGTAGTGGTAGTGGTAGTGGT